TCCAGATATGAGGACCACCAATTAGCTCTCAATTCAATATTGTGCAAGGTACGATGGTGCAATGACACAACAATGCATGAGAAGCGCCTTGACTAACCAGAGACCTTGTGCTGCCTAGAGTAATCTTTTCCAGCAAAGTATGACCATAGTTATAAGTGAGCTTATGCCATCGGATTTGACGATTGGTTCAACATTATCAGATGTGGAACGTTCCCTTAAACTATGCTCACTTTTGGCACTGAAAATCCCCGCGAGAAAAGCTTATCTATTCTACCTGACATTTAAGGTCGCGAATTAAGTTCTTTGCTGTAAGCCGTTTTCTTTGCTTTGCCTTTGTCGTTCTAGGGCTACCATTTCAAGTGTCCTTACCTGAGAGATGCGCATATCTGATGTTGTCAAAAGGTGCAATGCTATCCGTTTCTGCTTGTGGGGTGTCCAATTTGAGCTGCTTTTCTTAAGCGCAGTAGGTACGGCCTTGAAGCGCACTCACGCCAAATGACTGGCAGTTCGGCCGTATAGGCTCACAAAAAGTCGCAAACAAAACCACAAAATATGAATTTGATGGGTTTTTTGGCTTTCCGTCCGCTATATTTTAATAAGTGATGTCAATATTACTATTATTAATGAGTGGCTTGTTATTTTTCAGTCCATTCATATGTCTCTTCTGATGCGCTCTATATGGATGGACCCTCGCATCTCATTACCCAAAGGTCAGTCATGGCCATGCTCAAGGGCACCGGCGTGCTCATAAGCGCTGGTAGCTGCGCCTGTTCTTCTATATCATGAACAACCAGCGCGTTTTTTCGTCTGGTAAGTGTCACGCGAGAATGTTCTCCCCATCTTTCAACAAGGTCTTTATGCAAATCGAACACTAGCCCTGTGGGTCTGCAGAGCTCCTTTAAAACCCTACCAGTTCTCAATGTCACAACTGGATTCCAAGACATCGTAGAAATGCTAAAACGCTGAATGAAAGCGCTTTCAGCAATCAGCTTGCCAAGCAACACAGTCCATAAATCGGGCAAGCCATAGTTTTCTGCTGTGCCTCAGAATTCATGACAGCCACGACCCTTTCAAAACATAGTAGACAAGATCTGGTCCCATGTGATCCCGGGCCGCGAGCAACGGCCCGACGCTGACGCTCGCTGGCTTGGTCGCAGGCATGACGGGGGACGCACACATCTCATTCTCGCCACTGATGCGTGAGCGGCTGTGGGTGCCCGATTTGTTCTTCCTCCACGCCACCTCCATCCGCCAGCTGAAGCTGTACACTCCCAGCGAGGCTCTCCAGGTCTACGCCAACAAGACCATCTTCCTGGCCTCACTGTACGTCAAGCTCGTGCGTCGCAACAGACCGCCCCGCTTTCAATTCTGTTAGCTTTCTTTTTTGGTTCCAAGGGGTGAGACGATATGCTCCATCTGCTATCTGTATGCGAAATTGATTTGACGTGTATTGAAACCCTTGAAGTGGCTCATCAACATCTGATGGTGACCAACCCTTGCTCATTTTACTCCATAACTTTTTGGGCTTTGCTTCCAGAATTCTTCTGGAACATACTTGTCCCATGAAGTACAATTCATTCCCTCTAGACCGGCAATCCTGCAACATCATCATGGAGAGCAGTGAGTGTGTGACTTCTTCATCCGTGAAGCCAATGTACTTGTAAGAGAGACGCATGATAACTCCAGTGAACTGTCGAGCCAGTGCGGAAACAGCAGTCGTGTACAGTGCTTGGCCTGAGAGAAACACGTAGACTAAGTGTTAATTGTAAATATGTGCGCTACACAGAGCATCTTGCCGTTTCAGTGACATGAGCTCAATTGGTAACTTTTTTCATCTATCACTCGCTATGCTCAGCCGTCGCCTCATCTGCAACCACATGAAATCTTTTAAACAATATCATTGAGTATCAAGTGACCCGCGGTGTTGCTGGATGTGTGCTGAACAAAATCTCGTTAGATGTTCGTGTTTTCATCCTTTTTCGTGATGTTCTTGCGTATTTATCCGTGACATAAGGTGCTAGCTTGTATTCACATACTCAGTTATAGCGCTATTCTTAAGTTATTTGACTGCAAGTCTTATTTACGCAATAACTAGGAGCAATGCACATCACCCTGTATGTGTATCACAAAACGTAATTCATGGCAGAATCTGGCATAGCTTGCACAATATTGGTTGAGAGCCAATTGACGGCCGTTTTATCTGGAAATCGTGCTAATAAAACGCACAGATAAACGACTAAGCAATCACACTTTTATTGGCCTAGAACGCCGCATGACAAGTGGAATGACAGAAGTTGAATGACGTTATTTTGGCGTCGTGGACGCCCGAGCAGCCTTGAAATAGTATGCACGAAATTATCCGTACGTCTTCGCGGGCGTGTAGCTCAAAACCAGAGGGGATTAGGTCTTTAAAAGGGCAGGGCTGTGAACTACGCCGAATGATCTTCATCATTGCTACCTCAGCGTAAAGCCCCATACAAATGTGGAACACTCCTTCAACGATTTAGTCCCTGGCATCCGGTCATAAAAAACAGATTGCTGCGTCGGTTTCATAAATCGGAAGTATATCTTGCACCTTCTTTAACCGCGTCGTGGTAGGCACCTTGGCCAGGAAAAAACTTGATTTCATGGATGCCACACCAATCAGGTTATAATAAAAAACGCACTTTTAGGTTGCATTGCAAAAAATATTGAACAAAAATAAATATTTAGCAAAACGCCGACTTGTGACCTTGAACTGTTGGGGGGGGGGGGGGGGGGCTATTGTGACCTGGGACCGCCTGCTATCTTATGCTTGCGATGCCACAACACTAAGGGCGTTGAATGCCTTCATGCGCGATGTGATTTGACCACTTACCACTGATCTGGTCCGGCTCACAGTGCATAGGAAGGTATATTTTAACACTGATCGTTGCTGTATCCTTTTATTGTATAATTTTGGTGCGTGCCTTTTTATGCTGCACCTTTAGTATGTAATTTGAAACATGACCATGACCTGAAACCATCATGCGTCTTCCAGAGCAGTACGCTAGAGAGTGGGTCAGCACAAGGAAGGGTCGTGCCATCGCCCGTGCCAAGACTGCAGCAGAGCGGGCCGGCACGATCACGGGCGGTGTCTGACAGAGGCGGCCGTCCGCTGACCCTCAGGTGGCTACCCGTCCGAACGACTCAACATCAGCTGGCACCCGGCCGGCGTGCGCCTGCCGTCTCAACTCTATCAGCATCAGTTCTCGGTGTCGATCAGCAGCGGCTACAACAGCCAGTCGGCATACCCGTCGGGTACGGGGCCGCGGGCCCACGGTCGGCCCTCGTCTGTCTGCTGGCGCTGCGGTCCCCACTGGCCCATACTACTGAAGCGGCTGCTCTGGACGGCCTGCTGTATAGTTTACTGCCTCCTGGCATGGCTAGTTCTGCTTTATTTTCTCTGCGGCTTGTGTTTTGATATCATGGTATGGTTCCCCCCACTCAAGGTCGCCTTTTGGCTGCAAAATGGCCTCGATGCCCACGCGCCCTTAAACACTAAATCACCACCATCACAAGGCCGCTTCTTTCTTCTCTTTTGTTCTCTGCCTTGCTCACGAATAAGATGTTCCACTTCAAAATTATGATACGGGATAGTTAGTGAATACGTTCTGCACTTTGTTCGCGACTAATTATCCACCTAGTGCCAGTGTACATGGCACACTATTTGTTTTATGATTGGTCTCATGTTTTATCGTTTTTAACTTGCACTCTACTGATCTTTGTTACAATAGCGGCTCGATCAGAAAAATATGAACTGGTAGGCTTCCATATCATCATGTACAATGACTGCATGCATGTTGACAATTTGAGTCGATATTGATATAAGGTAAGGTGTATGATTGCCCTTTGTTGCTGCTATAGGCCCACTTTTTTTACAATTCTCAACCACTATTGAATGAATTAATATCTGGCGTCATTCAAGCACGCGGTATCTCAAGAATGGGCGGTGATTGTGCAGTTAAAAAAGCAAAAAAAGAAAGGCTTGTAGTATTCCCGACTACGAATTTGTTTTATCCTTATCATGTACAAGTTTCAACTAATAATGAGTAAAGAGACCTGTCGCGCATACTTAACACGCCTTCTGGTATAACAACGGCATCGTAGCTGTCACGTGTCTGTCAATTGGTATGTGTGGTGGTTGTGTGTGCAAGGACACTTGATCCAGATCGTGTGTAGTGTCTGCTTTGGGGGAGTTTTGAACTACGCGATCATGGACCGTGCCTAAAATATCGCATTTCCACTATTTTTACATAGGACTGATTGTTAAGACTGCTTGCATGAAATATTAGCTATCATAGTCAACTTATTATGTAAACTTACCGATCTAACGAGTGATATTTGGCTCTACAGCCGATCGCTCTGGTGGTTCAGCTTTCATCACAAGATCCAAATGATCAAGTTCGTTGTAAGAGAAGCAGTGGTTTGCCAAGGGTTTATGTTAAAAACTCGTTGAAGTGGCGGAACCAAGACAGTGCTGTGGGCCACTCTAGCAGAATCGACCACAATGACAGTGGTACGGCTTTGTTCAAGCCCATGTGTTGGACAAAAGCTGATGGCTTTAATGTGCCTCGATCCTCTCCCCCTCACCTTCACAGTGTGTGTGTGTGTGTTCGGATCGATCGGCGTGGCTCATCGCCATGGCAACACCAGAATGTTTGAGGACCCAGCGCCAGCGTGCCTATCGGTAGGTTTATTGTGGCGTGTCATCAGTGGATGCGCAGACAGGTCGCGGCGCGTGGGACACCAAAGCCCAGAGTGCCGCGAGTGCGAGCGCCGCTTCAAAGGCCCCCAGTCGAACGCCCTCGATCATTAGCTTTTGGTAGTCACTTAGTTATTGCGCCTCATTTGTGGTGATCGCCAACTAAAACTTGCTTTTGCCTGGAGATCTAACGACGGCCTTCGTGGCTCCAGACTAAATTCCAGAATAATATCTTGTCGTTTAACATGAGTGTTGCCCCATCTGGATGTCCCAGATCCGATCTGATCGTGACCCCAGCCGCTGGGTACAGACGTTGGCGAGCCCATATGCTCGTCAGCATGCAGCCGTGGGAGGGATCATACACTAGGTTCTATAACTGGGAGCTCTCGTCGAAAGCATCCCAGCCGACGCTTCAGCTCACACTTCGCAGCGGCCAATTTGTAATCAATCTCCCCATACATTTGCGCGTTAGCTATGACACGGGACGTGGCCAGGTGAGCGGCCGTCATATCCCAGATGCTAAGCGGTGTTAACGTTATCGGTACGTTGGCACCGGCGAAGGAGTGAGACCATGTCATGGAGCAGCCTCTCGCTAGGCATGATCAGTGCTGTGTTTTGGTTCGCGAAGATCAGGCATTAATCTTCCGCGTTTGACCATGGTTTTCAAAGTCATGCCTTTTTATTGAAACTCATTACATACGAGTTACGATGTCATTGTACTTGATACAACTGGCGATTGTGGTTTCCTTTCTTCCACACTCAGGTGTCGATACATGGGAGCGCAGAGCCACCCTCACACCTGCCTGTCCAAAATGGACGACCATTGACCCAGTTGACCATTTGACCTTTCGGTGAGCTTGCCCAGCTCCTTCAACAGATGTTTACAAAGGCACAAAGGCCTGCAACAGACATTTCCTATCGCGACACTGTCCAATAAACTGTGTGCCGAACATCACACATAAGCGAATCGCAAACATGAGTCAACAGAGGGATACAATGATAATTTCTCATTTACGGAGAAAGTGCAATAAATAGGGTGTCATGTTGGTGCTCGTAATGTCCTCTTTTGTCACATCTGCAAAAACAAACTTTCAAGGCCGAACCGAACGTCAGTCACCAAACTAAAGTCGGGTAACTTAGATAATAAGGGAAGTATTGCTGTCCGTTTAGTGGCAGGCTTCCTTCTCGCTCCCCCAAATAAACAGTCGACATCTTTCACATTGTTTGCCGACGGTCATCTAACTCGCCCACAAAGTGTACTTATTATCAATCTAGTCAACCCTCTTTCAAAATAGAAGTGTGAGATAAGTGAGAGTAACTCTGCACTTAAGATATAAGAAAACAGTTTGGAGGGGCAGAAATTTGCTAGCAAACACTTCTGCATTAGCTGCGCTAGGTCTGTCCCACAGCTATGCCAGACAGGATAATTTAGCTTGGTAATGTGGAAAGCCTGGAATGGCTTAGATCCAGCATTCTTGAGCCATGCTAAGAAACCAAAAACGGCAAAACAGAGGTTTAACAGGCCAAAATTGTCGATAAAAATTATTGCTTTGCTTCACATTACCTCCTTTATTCAGTGGGCTAAAATCGTTTTTGTACTAGGGCAGGGAAGAAAAAAATTCATTGAAAAAGGCCGTACGAGAGTGACAAAATTCAATTTGCAAAGGTTGGAACTTATGAGTCACTGAGACATGCTCCGACAAACAAAGACATACATTTCAAGTTGACATTAACGTAATATTAGAAACATGACACAAATGTTTTTTTAACATTTTAGGTCATTACAGTAAAACAGAATGCATTAAACAATAGTAATTTCATAATGATGTAATGAGCATCAGAACCTATGTAGCAGCAATGTTTTGATGCTGCACTTTGCACTTCCCTTTCATGGGGTTTTTTTGAACAAAAAACAAATGGAAAGGAATTCAAAAAAAGATTAACAAGCATAAAACATTAAGAAAAACAACAAAAAACATTGGACTCCTACACATCAGCAGGAGTCTAATGTTCTGTCAAGCACTAAGCACATCACGTCAGCATATGTCAACACATCACCAAATCAAACACTACAAACATACCTCTGGCTTCTGTTAAGATAGGGTCAGGAAATACAAATATCATGTCAGTTTGTTGCAAAATACCAATGCTTATTTGCACGAAAGTAACCTTACTAAGCCTGACCTAAAAACGCCTTACCTTATCTCATCCTGTCTTACATATTTGTACCACAACAGCGTTTGTGAGTTAGTGATACTTGCAAAATTCCTACTGCCACTTGTCATGTAATTAACAAACTTAGCCTAACTTAGAGTAGCCATATGCTGAACATCACCTCAACCCACCTCACCTTTTTTGACAGCAGCACTTGTGATACAAACATGAGGCAGACTGTTTTTGGCTGGTTTCGATTGGTGTTTTGGTTCGGTTCGTTTGTGTCAGCTTGTTGACAGCAGACAAAGCTGATAACACACAAGTAAAAACCCCTCAATCACTTTGAACAACTCATTCTGATTATCATGGTTAGCATCTGTCAAGGGCAATGGTGGGTATGCTCCACAAAACAATCTCTCTCCTCCAAACGTGGCATAACTTATATATGGCCTTAAAACCAGTTTTGCTGTTTGCCATTTCAGCTGCAACAAAGACATCCTTTAAGGTTTGATTATCTATATTTAATGACTTAAAGTTTGAAATGTTGGCTTTACATTTAAAATGGGATGGTCTATTTGTGAAATTATCTACCTCTCCCTCACATTGTAAGTGCATTGCAGCTTGGAGTGTTCCTACGTTAGAAATATAGTGCATATCTACAGTACAGCTATTTGCCAGGCAGCAAAATATGACAACTACGGACGACATCTTGCTGAAGCAGACATGAGAAACCCGTTCAAGACATTTTAACCAAGTAGTCAAGTTATTAGACCAAATAGCTTGATTGCATATCTTGTGGTATCACAATTTGTTTTTTGAACAAGATTCGATAAATTTAAACAGAAAATTAATGAATCTGGTTACAAATCATGTCATGAAAACAGGAAAGGTTAGCAAGTAGTTGCTCCACGGAAGAAATTAATGGCTTTTTAAGGGCAGGCTTCTTGCTGCTCCCCCACCGAAAAAGTCAGGATCTTTCCCATGGTTTGCTGAAAGACTGGGTCATCCAATCCACCCATAAAGTATACCTATCAATCATGCCCACCAACCTACAAAATTAAAATGCGGAAGAAGTAAGAGGAGCTCTGCATGGGAAAACAGCTTCGTAGGAGATAATTTCTCCACCAAACACTTCTGTATGAGCTGCGTCAGGTCTCTTCCAAGGCCACTTACTGCAGGTTAATGTAACGTGGTGAGGGAGTGAAACTGTAGTGGCTTAGATTAATCATTATTGAGCCCCGCTACGAACGAAAAAAACCACTAATTGGGGGTTTACCAGGGCAAAATGGCAGTAAAAAGAAGTTCCGTGCTTCAAATGGTCTCCTTCATTCCCCATGAATTGCGCACTCTTGGGTGCATATCAAACATGTTGAGTGGCTGGCGAATCAATTCGGTTTATGCATGAAATATATGCAAGGTTGCAGCCGCAGCATTTTGCAGAGAAGTTGGTCAACATTTCAAGTCACAAATGGTGTCTTTAAAGATGATCGGAAAGGAGGGAAAATTGAAGTTGTATTGCGCTGGTATGAGACCAAAACAAGCCAAAAAATTCAATAAATATAGAGACTTGAGTTGTTATGTCAAATTTTGTAATCAACTAACTTGACTAAAAGTCTCTGAAAATCAGTGCTCGAATCGTGATATTCAGCGTTTAGATTTAATTTAAAAAGCATTTATTACATTTTTCACTCCTACACTTCGGGAGTGGCGTGATTGAGTGGCCAAGCTTCTTCAGGTAAAGGAAATACTAGGAGTAAATCATCTACCCGGCTCTGCTTTGTTGGCAGGGTCTTTGCGTGGTGCGACACCCTAAAAAATTTGGGATACGTGAAGACCTTGCCTTTGGCACACAGCTGAAGATTGTGATGAATTCTGTAAACAAACCAAACTTAATATATGCAGGCGGCTGGAGTCGCTGAGGCTTTCGGGCTTGAACGTACCTAGTGTCCTTGCTCTGTGCTTACATGCACATGATTCAGATGTAGGTGAGACATGATATAGCCATGGGTGTCCAGGCTCTGTGTATCCTAACCACACATACCAAACCCAAAATTGGGATTTGGTGGGTGTGTTTAGACAATATTAGGTAGGTGTGAAAAATTCACATCAAATCTGTGAAAAAGGTGAAAAATTCCTGCTCATGGCGTGTTGCTTTACACCCAGTCGTCAGTGCTAAGCCACTACCTTTGCTTTACATGTATTATTCACTCTTGTGTGCTTCTCAAACCTCTTTGGGTGGTTGGCGCATTAATGCATGCATCTGTGATATGTTTTCAAGGCTGCAGTTGGTAAATTTTGTAGGGAAATTATTGACATTTAGATCATGAATGGTATCAATATAAATTAGACAAAAGGAAGTAAAATGTATTTGATTCACCTCCGTATGAGACCACAATAACAAAAAATAAAAATAGATGCGTAGGCTTACAGTTTCTGCGAATATTTTTTTCCAGCTCACTGTACCAAAAACATCTGAAAATAAGTGCTCAAATTGTAATATTTGGCTTTCAGCTATCATTAAAAAGGCATTTTTTGCATTGTTCATTCGTACATTTCGGGAGCGGTGCAGTTTGATAGTCTGATCTCTTCGGGGAAAAATGGCGCGCAGTAAAGTTCTTTTCCAGGCTCTGCGTGGTGTTTGCATGGTGGGACCAATTTTTGTTTCAAAGTTAAGAAAATCTCATATTTGGCACAGAGTTGAAAATTGCATCTGATGTGCTTTGTGAACAACCCAAGATTGACGAACGTGAGCGGCTGGAGTCGCTGGGGCTATCGGGCTTGAAAGTGCAAGGCACCTTGCATAGCCAGACGCCCAGGGCCAGGTCGTATGACAGACGGCTCGTATGCCGCTCATTAGGCACTTTGGCTTGCTGTAAATTTAGGTAAGGTGCCTCCCGTCCCTTTGTACTGCCATGGCCATTCTCCCATCATAGTGAGGCATCGTTAGCGTTCTGTGTGTGCACATGCGTGGCACGAGACAATTCTGGTTCATTTACCCAGTTACAAATATCTGAACCGCTCACATATTTCATCAACGAATATCACGAAACAATCCACTGCGATTCATTCTTATTGTTCAGATTTGGCTTTGAGCCATAGACTGGTAGGTTACAGAGGTTTAAGATTGTGTACTTGGAGCCATAGACAAGTACGTTACAGATGTTTAAGGTTTTGATGTTTGGAGCCATAGACAGGTGGTTACAGAGGCTCAGGTCTGGATACTGAATTAGTGGCTCAAGCATAACGATTCATACATGATCTAGATGTACGTGAGACAGGATGTAACCATAGGTATCTAGGTTCTGTGGAGCCTTGTTTTTGCTTGGTGGCTTCAAGCGAGCTAGGACTTCGATGACACCATAGGAGCAGCTGAAAGAAAACTATGGAGTTAGTATCTGTGGCTAGACAATATCAGGAGGGAGTGAAAAAATCACATAAAGTAGGGGAAAAAGATTGAAAAAAATTACCTACTAGGGTGTTCTTTTTCACCCAAAGTGGGCATTCCAGGAAGTGTATCATAGTAGTGCTCGTGGTGTTTGCCTTCGTTGCATAAAAAAAAACAAGAAAAGGTCAAGGGCGGACAAAAAGTGGTAATTTGGCATTTGTTCGTTTAATCCAGAAACACAGTCAATTAAGAGCAAAGGTCAAGGTCACACAAAGCTCAATACACTGGAATTTATTCGTTTAGTTACGAAAATTGCTAAAAGGCAAGATCACGGAAAATACAATGCCCTGTCATTTTTTCTTTACCAAAGAAATGCAACAAAAGTGGTGTATTGACGTTCGTGATGCCTGCTTTCGTCATATTTCAAAAACTTACACTCAAGGGCAAAGGTCAAGGTTACAAAAATGCGGGACACTGGTGTCTATTCGTTAACTTAATGAAAACAACAAAGACTATCATATCAGGAGGAGGTTTGCTTTCGTCACGCTTGAAACAAGCTACCTCTCAAGGTCAAATGTCAAGGTCATGCAAACGCGATACGCTGGCATTTACTTATTTGTTTGATGAAAGCTTCAAAAGTTGTGTCTTTCTAGCACTTTTTTATTCGAACTTGGCTTTAAGGCATCGCTACAGAGCCCGCCGGCACGGTCACAAAATACAACTGCGGAGCGCCTCGGAACGCGTCTGCACTTGGCCAAGGTCTGGGATCCAATGTGTCCGACCTTGTTACAGGCACGTACGCGGCGATCGGATTCCGGCTTGATCTGCAGCGCAAGATGCAGTTCTACCTGCTGCAGACGTACCTGCCGTCGGCGCTGCTCGTGGCTGTGGCCGGCGTGTCGTTCCTGGTGCCGGCGTCAGCAGTGCCGGGCCGCATGGTACTCTGTATCACCACCCTGCTCGCCGTCACCACCATGTTCGCCGCCGAGAGGTACAGGTACACGTGCGGTACGAACTGGCCGCTTGCTTGGTGCGCCGGCTAGAATTCCTCCCTGGCCCCCTGACTCAGCTCCCACTCGCTCTTCTCTAATGTCTTTTGAACAGGTTTGATTATACGATCATTTGCGAATATTTGTTTAAAAACAGGTGATATCCCGTGCACATGCGTAGCTAAGAATGTTTCAGTGATAACGCTAATTCTAGTTTCCTTCTTACTCCGGACAATCACTGCATCCGTGTTCTTCTGCACTCTGCTAAACCCAACTCTAGGCTAGTGTGTAAAAACCACTTCACGGATCGGATCCATCCGCAGGACGGACTCGACTGCATCATAAATTTCCACCGAAACATGGATGACGACCGGACTGGATCACGACTCAATTGTGCCATCTCACGGATTGGGCGGATTGAAAGCCAATGCAACAGAAATTGGCATTACATTGGTCCTCAAGTACTCCGTTAAGATATCGGCTCAGAAAAAACCTTTAAACCGAAAAAATGCAGTGCATTTACTTCTAAACAATGTACGAAGAGGTCACATAAAAGATAACTCAGCCACATTTTCATTTAACAAATTTTCTTATCAACAGATCACATTAACAACTTCGTGTGAATGAGTGCCACTCATTCGTAGCAATTGTAAGTGCAATATTTTCATTCGTAGCAATATCTAATACCCTATCTTAGCATAGCATAGCTACCATTCCCATTGATCTTACCAGCAATCCCATTTAACTATTCAGTAGCTTTTATCATTACAGTAAAAAGGCCAAAAATGTTTTATATTCTATTGCTTTATTTTTATATTATATGTTTCATCATTTTTGCTGTTTTATTCCCCTCGATGAGCGAGCAGGTGTCGCAGGTAGAGGACAACTGCACGCGTGGATTATGGTGTCAGAACAGCAGTAATCTACGGGAAGTAATGGGCGTAGTTGAGGTTATTGCTTCGGTTAGTGTGTTCGAGAACGGATACACGTCTGAAGTATGATATATCAGGTGAGATGGTAGCTCTAGTGATTCAGGAGGCGTATTAGATGAGCGTCGTGCTGCGCATGGCAACTGGGTGCCACTGAAGCTGTCTAGTGGCATGCGTAGGTATGGTGCACCAAATCTGGAGTCTGAAGATGTTTAATGCGATCATGCGCTAGGTTATTGAAACAAAAAGAGATTTGGGCCCTGTGATGTGGTGGTACCTCGAATTATTGGCGAAAATAATGGATATGAGTCTAGTTTGCTCACGTCTTCATGCATAATTGCATTCCTAACAGGCAATCAGCTGATTTAAGTATCTTAGCACCCACTGGCTTGTGGCAACTTATTGCGTTCTTTTCCCCGAAAAGAAATGAGCAAATTTCCTTAATTTAAGATGCTCTTATGAACCAAATTTCTAATCAAAATTTCAGAAAGTCATTAAGGTGAAAGCGCATTGGCACATGTTTATTTGATAGCTTTTTCGGGCAACGTGCCGGAGCGAAATGGATTAAGATATCTGGAAAAAGCGGACTGGTGTGTGGACCTAATCTAGACTAGCCGAACTGAATGGACCGGATCCTAAAAATTCAATGCACTAGTTGCTCTGGTGTGTAGTGTATAGGTAGTGTGCAGTATTGCGATGGCCCCATATAATTGTGAAAAGAAACCTGCGGTAAACAATTTTATTTAGTTTTGACGGGGCAGCTCCACACGCAGAGGACATCCACAGCTGAGTATCCGAATGCCTATCATAAGTTGTGTGATCTTTCGTTCTATGGATTCATTTAATTGAAATTAGGCCGGTAACTGCAAGCATTGCTTCCCATTTGATCTCATTCCAAGAGCAAGGAGCGATTGTCATTAGAATACATGCATCCACGTATTTCCTTACTTTTCATCGGTGCGCATTAGTAGCAATGACGACGAGCTATATAAAATAAGCGCATTTAATTGTAGATGTAGGTTACCCAAAAATGTGAAAAATCAAGTACGGTATGTATCGAATGTAAAAAGTTGTCTCAAAATTGTAGCGCAAAATTTATCAAAGGAGAAAAAGGGAGCACCCTATTTAACGGCAACAACGTTTATCAATGCCAGTACGTTTGCCTGTCGACGGGTCGGGCTCTTGCGATGGGTTTAATGACTTGCGTTTGCAGAAGTACTTTAAAAATTGCAACGAAAAGGCATAAAGACACAAAGGTTCTCGAACTCGAGACATTCTTTCACATGAAACTGTGTCTGAACGAGTGCAAATCGATTGTGCACCAGCACCTGAAAACCTACCAACAAGCGCTTTGGGCACAGCACCACTCCGACCACACATACTTCATTAAGTCAACACTCGCCAAATGGTCATCCAGCCATCAGCATTTCCGCTACAAGAAGATCCTGCTGACAAAAATCAGAAATATCTTTGCCAGGTTCACAGCACCAGCCTCCAAAATAGCGTTTACTTCAAAGTTTGCTATATGTATAGCTATAGGGTGACAAGATTTATCTGTGCCTGGCGGGCGAGAGGGATTGGCAAGAGCGAGGTTTTCGCTGGTAAAAAGCAGTCGTAGGGAAAATTGCACAGTTCATGTTATGCAATGTATGATGACGATGCTATGGTGATACCTATTTCATCTTAACCACTACTCCGCTTAGGCGCATTTGAAAGCGGTGACATATGACACTTTTGAGGCCAGCATCAGATTTTGATCCCAGACACCTGAAATGACCACATTAATAAAACTCACCCCCGTAGAAAGGCGGGGAGAACGCACTTGAGACTCCCTTAAAACTTATGTTACGCGGCGTCTTTTCAGGCAGGCGGGCCCTCGGGTCAGCTACGTCAAGGCCATGGATGTGTGGATGATCGGCTGCATGGTGTTCTGCTTCTACAGCACCGTGGAATACGCCTTGGTCATCAGGTGCGACGCAAGCAACAAACGCGCAGATTATCGACAGCGGGCACACAGAAGACCCGACAGCGCGTGTAAAGACGACCGGACAACCGGTGTACAGACGACCCGAGAACAGGTGTACAGACGACCTGACAACAGGTGTACAGACGACCTGACAACAGGCACACAGAAGACCCGGCAACAGGTGCAGAGACGACCGGACAGCCGGTGTACAGACGACCCGACAACAGGTGTGCAGACGACCTGACAACAGGCACACAGAAGACCCGGTAGCAGGTGTACAGACGCCCCGACAGCATGTGCACAGACGACCCGTCAGCAGGTGTACAGGCGCCCCTATAGCAGGCGAACAGACGGCACAATCGATTATGTGGCTTTTGACTTCACCCTAGAACGCTGTCCTTCGAAGCTTTGTGGGTTATCGACTGCCGCGTCTACACTACAGTACGTTTCTTGACGATCTGATGTCCGGCAACAAGCATGGGTGGTCAACCTCATCATCGACCGTGCTTGTTGTCCGTTTTGACGGCTTCAGATGTCATAAAGGGGACTTACAGCGTAAGTGGGGATAACGTTAATGCGCAACAGAATAGTAAATGCTCAGAGGCCATCAATCTTTGTCATTAGAACTAGGTCCGTTAGCATTCAACTCATGTTTATTCTCGCTCAACATTTCGTGACATTTGTAGGCGAGCTTGTTTCAATAAGACTCTACACAACCCGAACAAAAAGCCATACGACCCAAACTTGGGTGACGCTGTAGCGCTTGAGGACCATTGGGCAAGATGGATCGCGATGTCTGTGTTATCAGTTGTGGGTTTTCTTTCGTGTTTCCGGTGTGCTACCAAATGGTCTGAGTCATGCCCTTGACCACAGACTGGGGCTGAATCAGACCGAGAAGCCGAAAGAGGGTTCTGTAGCT